CAGGGAGAAAAAAATAAAATTCTGTGTGTGATACGGACTGTTCAATTCTTTAAGAGTTTTATGTTATAATCTAGTTTAAAAATCAAAAAGGTGTGTAAAATAAGAAGAAAACTTGTTCAAGTACCATTTACTTTTAAACTGAATTTAAGATATGATTGCATGATTCTAGGCGTGTGTCATAACTAACTTTATGTGTAAGGAATAGCGAACACAAAAGAGGGTTGATGCCAGCTTTATCTGATTGCTAACAGTATGTCTTGGTCTATAAATAATAGTATTATTGATTACAATAATTTTGTTTCCTGGTTTTCACAAAAGGAGCGCACAATGATTTCAAATATAAAAAAAGAGATAACAGCACCTTTGGAGGTGTGATCGCATGTATGAGCGTGGATGACCTTTGAAGGGTTTTTTTGTTGTTCAGTAAAGTATGATATATAGAGCTGCGTTTTTAGTCCCTTTTACACTCCAGAGGGGGGTAATTTATTTTAGTTTAGTGATGACTCTTTTGTAGTAAAATTTGTTGTCGCTTTGTTTGGTTTATTTTTTAACCGCAGATCTTAAGTGAACCTAATTATTGATTGTGGGATCTTAGGTGAAGACTACAACAATAGAATTAAACCGAGTATAGTTATATCTAACTAGACTCAAACTCTTATCCACCCCACCCTACCCTCTCCCCTCATCTGATATGGTTTGGTGTTTCTTTAAGGGTAGGTGGCAGTTAATATTTCTAACTTTGTTATTAACACATACCAGCATCATTCAGAGTGATCATAAAACACTCCAGGAGTTCAAAATTAAATTCAAATAGCAAAATATAATATAATATTTCTTTAAGGAATTTGAAAATATTTCATGTTTTTGGGGTACAGAAGCAATTTTGACTCAATCTGCCCCGCGCTCTCGCTTAATCAGTTTATTGACTAAAATGCTTATATTTTCCCATAAGCACACTAGCAATAAAATCTGTGATCCTAAGTGGGCTTGTTTTGATACTTGAAACCTCTAAAGAGATATTGAGGATAACATCATAGCTATTGGTTGACTTTGTTAATTTTCGCATTTTCACATCAACTGAAGCACTCGAAACTGTATTTTTCAAAATCGGTGAGAGATATATGAAAAAGCCCCTTTAGGATTACAGAACATTCATTTTTACATAGTTAGGCCAAATATAAAAGAAATCCTCCACTTGAGTTTCAAATGAGAGTCCGGGCCGCAACCCATACCCCTTAATTTTTTGTCGTTTTGAGAAAACTTGAAAAAACGTACAGATTTTGTCATAACTTTCTAACCAAAACAGATAGGAGCATGAATTGAATTGTATAAAGACAATTAAGCATTTCTCAATGTACCCAATTCTTTTATCTAATTTTAAGAAAAAAGTCACCCAAAATACAGCAGGTAGTCATGCAACAGAGAGGTCAATTTAGTGGTAGTATTAACTGAAAAGAAGAAATATAGGGAAATTTGTCAAAAACATGCAACTCCAAGTTGCCAAAAGAGGAAAAAACAGCCATAAATTGCAGAAGGACTTCTTTATTTATAATCAGTCCCTTTTCCTGAGCAGTAGAGACATCTGCCGGTCCAATTTTCCTCCTCTAAAAGATGGTTCCTTTCCTGTTTTTCTAAGCTTATGGCAGTCTCTGCCCTCTTTATTTGGGTACAGTCCCTTTTGATGCCACTGTCCATGGTTCGGGCTGAGACCAACAATTTTAGAAATGGCATAAACGTCTGGGTGCTAATGGCCCCCAAATTCCAGTCTGCAGTAGTGATAGCAAAAGCTGCTTCTACTCTTGGTTTGGTCACAAAGACTGTCTTAGGGCCCTTCAACCAGGTGTGAACTTATGGAAACTCCCATTCTATTTTTGTGCCACGCCAGGTACATACTTGATCTCCATTAGCTCATCTGTGGTGCACAAGCTTCATAAATGAGGGGGTTTGAGGTGGGTAGAAAGACTTCCCTTGTGTGATGGTGCTGTGCTTCTTTGGCTGTAATGCCTTTTGTAAAAGTACAGTATAACACAGATAGCTTGAATTCGTTGGAACTGGCCTTGGTAGTTCGAGGCATCCGTAGTTCTAGGGTTCTGTAGTTCGAAGGATATCTTTAAAAGATAAAGAAGAAAAAAAAAATGGGACCGCAGGCACAGTTCTACTGATACATGCGTGATTTTGAGTCTTCTGTGTTTGACCTGTTTGTGTTATAATGTAAAAGCACCATTTGTTTTCATTAGTAGGTGGGCATCTGTCACGATGTGGGTCTCCATCTGTGCTGGTGCTGTACTGTGCAGCAACGTGGCCACCATTGCTTCTTACATTAACAGTGGAAAGAGTTGAACAACCTCAGAGGTTTTGTGTAATAGGACTGGAGACATCCAATCTTCTCCTGGTTGAAAAGAAGAATAGAAGAGAAAAAAAAATGGAAAAACACCCATAAGAATAAGGATTTAGGCGTTGTTATTATCCTCTGCAGACAAAAGCTGGTAATGCATTCAATGGCAAAATTGTAATTGCAGACTAAAAACCCATTTAACACTCTAAGCAGCAGGGGGTTATTTATGCAGATGCCAAGCACAAAAATTCAACTGATAAGAGTCCAATTTCATTTATAACAAAAAACCAAAAAGGACAAGAAAGCAGAATATATACACTCAAACCCTGCAAAAACTGCCACCCTGTTTTACTGGCCCAGCTTTCCACCAGGTTTTGCCAATGCACGAAAAGGAATGCCTTTATAAACATAGGCTACTATTTGCCCCCTACCTGAAATGTAGCCTACTAATGTTAATTTTCCCCCAAACCCCTTCACTCTTGGCCACCAGAGGTGCTGCGTGCACAGTGACTCAGCAACTGTGTACGCCTAGCCTAGGGCCTAGTGATAATCTCCCTTTCTACACTGACACATTTCTCTGAGTCTGAGAGTGAGTGAATCAAGACCGCCCCACTAGTGGGGAGGCCTCTGAGTGAATGCATGAAGCACTACGAGACTACAAGACGATGGGCATTAACCCCTTCATAACACAGGGGCAGTTTGTGTGCTTCACCAGACAGTTGTTGATTTTGATCTCCAGGGACAAAGAGTAGCGCTAGATAAGCGGATGGTTGCATATATGATTCGACTCAGTTTATAAATTCTACTATCTCTAAAAGGAAAAAACATTTCTGAAAATATCCCCAAAAATGTGTCTGAATGTGAATCTGAAATTAGTTTTATGAAATACATGTAATGAAGCAGTATGCCAAATGCAAAATGTAATACACGGCGTTCATCATTATGGTCCTCGTGCTTCACAAGGCATGACAAGCACCGTAGGTCCCAGGAGAACTTGCTTCCTTTTCCATTTTAAAAAAATGAACAAACATCTATCATATCTTAAGTCACAAACAGGCTAAGTTTTGCTTGAGGGGAAGAGCGCAATAATTGTTGATTGATGGGACTTTGAAAATTAGGGGATAGTCAAGCGAAATTTCTTATCCTCAAATACGGTACCTGAGTCAGTATGCTAAACGCTCTCTCTCCCAGCGTTACACCTCTCTTTTTCTCGATGGCTCTCAGATTTCGCAAAGTACAGAGCTGAGACTGAAATGATATGACATACAAAACAGATTTCATTTATAGAACCATTCTCTCATTCTTGGAAGTATTTTTTTCAAGCCAACAAAATCACCAGTGACAGGCTTACAAAGTTCAACAGTAATGAAAACAAAGCCAAACATGCAATTTTCTATCATCAAACTATTATTACATTTTCAATCACAGTACTTTTACTTGTGTCAGCTGCTGATAAAAGAGTTGAGGCACAGTTGATGAGCATAAATAAATGGAGGGGAAGGGGTGTATTATCTCTCACACTAGCTAATACTAGGCCTAATCTGTGACCTGAATGTAATCTGAATCAGATCAGTATCAATGAAAGTGCAGTTATTGTTTGCCTTTTACTTCTCTTCACTTAAACTGAATAAGACGTTGTTTTCAATGAACTAATCACTCTATAAGTATAGCCTAAGTATTAGTGAGGCATTTTTCTGAGAGAGATATCGGGTATCTGAAATAAATCACTCTGATTTCTCACGACACGTAAGAATCAAAATCAATTTTGACTTACTCTTTTGCCACATGGTTGACATACATCACCTCCTGAGTTTGGAGGGGTTGAGGGCCAATACAGTAGAGATGATTTTGAATCTCCATCACCAATGAGTGAAGTGTTCCTCATCTTGTACTGGAGTGAGCAATCCTATATGACACCTTCGCTCTCTTTACCAAGACGGGCCACTGTAGTTGACCTGACATTCAGGCTTGTGGATTTACAGTCATGAGTCAAACTTATACTTATCAGTTGTCAGCTGGGCCTTCACAGATTAGCAAAGCTGGGAAAATACACAAGCAGATTAGTGAATTACCAATTTAATGTTGGTAAAACAAAGCCAAAAAACAAAACCAGCTAGAGAGAAAAGAATTTCGCAACAAATCACTACTCTAGTATACTACGTAATGTATCCTAATGGCACCATTGTTAGAGTACCTCAAGAAAACTGAGAGCACTCATTACAAATATTAATTCGGTATATCTACATATTTCTTGAACATCGTTTTGCTATTAATTTGAATGCCCCCCACCCCCCCTCCTCTCCCGAAAAAACCCAAAAAATAATTAGAATAGAAGGAATTGGGTGCGATTAGATCTACCATGAATTGTGGTGTAAGGGAGTAAACTAAAATATAGTTCAAAATAAGACCACATTACTAATAAATGCTGAATGTTCCCATTGAACTACTGTATAAGATTTTATAGCACGGCCAAATAAAACTTGTAATCGTATATATATTCATGATCTAACCCTGAAGAGCAGCAGTTTAATTAACACACATGTAATTTGATATAAGTTCAAAACAGAGCACACAAGTTAAAGAGACATAATCTTATTTACTTGTGCCTAAAGTCTGGTACTGAAGATTTTCAGCTTTTATTTTTAAATCTATTTTTTTCCCCGCACCAGTGTTAGCTGCTAGATCTAGATCTAGAGATCTAGATTCTAGATCTCAGTACGAAAACAATTGAAAGAAAACCGGAAACTTCAAACTGGACTAGCAACGTCAAGTCATAGAGAAAAAAGAATTATGCACAACCACGGAAGACTGTAAAAGTGAGGGAATTTGGCATTATGTGGTTAAAATCCGGTCTGTTCTACTAGGTCAGTCGATCGATAAAATGTCAAAGCAGGTCAAAGCTCATGTGGCTTTGCAAGTGGTCCACAAACTCACAGCTTTCGTACCCTGACAAGGCTACTTAACTTGTTCCGAAAATGCACACACCTCCATTTCAAAACTTGCTCATACTCCTCATCAGTTCTCCCTAAACTAAAAGCAATTCCAACATTCAGCTCATGAAATGAACTACGGAATATTGCCAATGCTGTTCGTAAAACAAGCCAGTCTCTGTAGTGAGAGTAGTGTGTCCTAATCCTAATTCTAGTAGTAATAGGCCATTACTAGACTCGCACTAAGTTAGACCGCGGCGTAGGTCAGCAAGCAGCTGATATTACGACTTACGACTTATGAGGCTATACAAGTTCAAGACAAAACACCAACGAATGATATACTCTTAACTGCACTGTATATCAGTTGAAACATTGTCAAAGCTGAAGAATTTCAGTTATTCTTCCCCCTTTTTCAAGTGACAGAAGCTTACGTCACGAAAACCCGGAGCTTCGGAGATGTGTTGAACGCCGGTGACAAAACACGCAGATGTTGCATCCTGGGATTGAAAGCTTTCTGGGCTAATGGGAAAAACGTTGGAGCTAGCCTATAAATAAACCGAAGCGTGTGTCCTTGACTCGACGAAAGTTTAGTCTGACCTCCGCGCTGAACTCATTACCGGTAGCAGAAATTCTACTAGATCTAGATCTAATCTAGATCTAGATTGTTTTGGTTGTCAGGGTAGAAAATTAATGGATCAACTAAGCAAAAGTTTTCTTTACGTCTAAAATTTGCACGCAATTTGAAAGGGGGGTACCTACTAAAATGATTGACAGCGTGTTTCAAAAATGTGTTCTTGGTAAAAGTAACACGTCAGATCTATTCCCAATACGTTGAAGTACCCAATCGGATATAAAGCTAAAAATCAATAATGTTTGCCAAACATCGTATTTTTTGCCCTGAATATTTCCCGTGGTGTACCTTTAACATAGAAAATATTCATCATTATTGTTGTTGAGTATTGATTTCATATTCTATTGGAGCCTACTCTAGATACATGTATCTACATTTAGACAACAGTTATAATTTGCACACACAATGGAAAGCAATATCGTTACTTAAAATGTACATATACATGTATATAAGAATAAGAATACTTTTTAAAAATTGAGTATCTCGGTCTTTCTGCTGGGGTGTTGTATCCCTTTCAGCCTGGGTTGGCATTTGCGGGTAGCGCCGGAGCCAGCCTCTTATGAATGTTAATGATCTAAATTGTGTTGCTGAGGGCATAAAAACACTTTCATTCAAATGTTTTAAAAGGAAAACAACTTAACTGTGAAAACTTCGGTCCACTGCAGGATCATATCGGTTCTTACACTTAAATACAACACAGGTGCAAGGCATTTTTACTAATTGACTTGCCTAATCTCAAGGACCTCGGAATAAAACCTTCTTTCTTATCTAGATTTCAGTGCGTGAGTTGGGGATTCGCGCAGCGCAGGTAGACCACAGTTCCACTGCGAGAGAGGGCTCCTATCAGGCGTGCGGTGCCGCCCACAGGGCATCCTCCATTACTTTTAATCTCCTTGATCTAGATCTAGAGTAAATCAATCGTAAACACGGTCGTCTGATTACCTAGGTTGCTTGGTTCTGTAGCAGCAGGTAGATAATATCTAGATCTAGAATCTAGTATAAAAATGTGTGAAAGAGTTTAAATCTTAGTCTAGGATGCTAATCTAGACATGGATCGATTCATCCAGAAAACACCTAAAGAGTTAAAAAAATATCTTACGTCTCGAAAAAAAAAAGAGGGGGGGAGGGGGGAGTCTTTGACTCCTGTAAAAGTAAAGTGCAAGAAAGGGGGGTGGGGGGGGGGGGGGAGGGGAGGGGTGAACCGCAATGTAAGATTACATTTTTGTAAGTTGTAAAAATAATCAAGGAAAATATAATTTATGACAAAGAGTTACACTTTTCACTTAGAGTAAGTTCGAGCTACTCTAAGCACTGCATTGTGGCGATACAGTGGACCTCGAGCGGTAAGCACGATAATAATATATTATGTCATCTTGCACTTTATACTCTGGTAGATATCTGGGCTACATGACATGTAGATCTAGTCTAATTTTGATTACACCGGTGCGGTTAAAGTAGAGATAAAATGACACCGTAAGTTTTTCTGGAAAAGTTCCACTTGTGCCGTATTTAATTATTATGTCACATGTGTGTATGCATGTTTTTCACGAATACTATAATTTTAATAATTTAAAAGTAAAGCGCATAGAAGAGTGTAACACGGATTTGCACAATATAAATGTCATATTATTATTATTATTAGCGAATAACGTAATATTACGAGATTTGGGGGGGGGGGGGCAGGAAAGTTTTAAAAAGTGTAAGATTATATTTGAATAGCCCTAAAACCACGCAGGTCACACCTGCCCAACGTCAGCGAGAGTGCAAGGACCTGACGCATGTGTTAGGGACAAACTATTTTTGTACACCATGCAACCTCCATGTAGTTGTTTTTTTTGGGAGGGGGGGGGGGGGGTAGACATTCACATTTAACTTCTGATTTTGATCTAACAAAACTCATATATGTTACTCATATGGTTACTTTTGATAGCAATGAGCATAGCAACAATGTATTCCAATAGTTCCGTGTCCGTGGCATTGTTTTAGCTATACACGTCTGGCAACTTTTCTTGCAACTTTTGCTAATTTTTCTTGCAACTTTTTGTAACTTTTGCTATTTTCAAATGCAATTTTCTCTGAGGACAGATGTAGACCTATGTGTAGGCTGCTGTTCGAATTAATGGACAATACAGTGAATAATACATGTATAGATAGGAGAGGAGTGAGGCAAGGATGTGTTACGTCACCAGACCTCTTTAACCTGTCCCCGGGGTTTTATGCACCCCGCATAATTTAGCAAAATTTGATCATGTTTTTGCAGAAATTCTGGGGGTTTTTCATAAAAATCGTTGTTAAAATTAACAGAATCGCATAATTTCATATTCTTGGGCTCGGTTTGCATAATTTCAGATTTTTGGGGGCATAAAACTGCGGGGATATTAACATATGTAGGCTACTGTGAAACAATCCTTAGAAACAGAGAAGAAGAATGTCCAGGTCTCAAAGTATATTGGAGAAAATATTTATTACAGTAGATATATATATGAAAGTCACACGGTTTTAATAGCAGTAGCAGGCTCAGAATTTTTTTTTTAATAGTAGAGGGTTTTACGGCGCTCGCAACTGCATAAGGTCATATGAGCGCCAAGGGGTGGGTGTCAACAGAGAAGTCTTTACAGGGAATCAGACTTAGGCTGTTCGCCTCTCTAGCTTCAACAACACAAGGTCTGCTTCGACTATCAAGGCATCCCAAAATAGCAGGTCACAAGGGAGTGACAAACATACAAAAGAAGTACAGGAAAATGACAATAGTAAGGATATGGAAAGAAAAAGCAGTAGTTCCCTGTTGTAGATCAGGCACAGTTATGAGCGTGACATAGCCAGTCCATTTACAATAGATGCTTGAACGAGATATGTCCCCCCTTTAGGAATGGCCTAAAGACACTTCAATCAGTGGCACTGCCCCGGGGGGTAGGATCAGAACTGGATCATCAACTGCTTCTAGATACTGTAGTTGTACATGTGTAACCTGTCCCCGCGGTTTTATGCAAGAAAAATTCTGAAATTATGTAAACTGAGCCCAAAAATGAGAAATTATGCGATTCTGTTAATGTTAACAAAGAAGGATAAAGGAAAATAATCACAAATTATGCAAAAAATGATCAAATTTTGCTAAATTATGGGGGGTGCATAAAACCCCGGGGACAGTGTAACGGAACTTGAACGTAAAAGATTAGTGTTGAGTATAAAAATATTTTTTTTAAACAAAGACAGAATGCATGGTTATTTATTTTTTAAAAATGCAGCAAATCCCAGTTGTAATCTCATTAGCAAATGTTAAAAGATCAAACAAGTCCAACAGGTTAAATATGATCTATGATATAATATGATAACACGATGCCTAATATTCCACAGAAATAAGGTAAAACGGAGAATTATAATGATTAAAGCTAGATCTAGTTTCAATAAAATGACCCCAATCCTGAAAAATAGAAACATCCCAATGACTACCAAAAGGAAAGTTCTGAAATGCTATGTATGGTCAACCCATGCATGGCTGTGAATGCTGGACAATCACTAAAGGTAGTGAAAATAAAATAGAAGCAACAGAAATGTGACTGCTAAGAGTATCGTATCATGGAAGGAAAAGAAATCAAATGAGGTACGGTACATGTAGTGCTTTATGAAGCACACGTGGGACGCTCACTGTGCTGTTATAAACAATCAGGAAACGACAAATGCAGGTTTTGGGACACCTGAATAGACATAACTTGAACATCTAGCACTAGCTCTTACTGGCAAAATTGAAGGCAAACGAGACAGTGACAACCTACTTAGGAATCTGAACAAATGGGTAACAAGAAAAGATCAGGGAAACGTGACTTTTTTAAGAGCATCCGAGCAGAGGAATGAATGGACAACCATGATCGCCAATGTCTGTCGCAGATCTGGCACTGGATGATGATGATGATGTGTAGGCCAGGCTACTACTTCTAATTCTATACATGACATAATGTACACACACATGTATAGACTACTATGAATTTACGAGGGGGGTTCAAGAAGTCTTTGTTCTAAATATGAAGGAATAAAGATAGAGCTTTGTAACTTGGCACACATACTTTTATTTCTCTACATAGTCACCATGCAGAGTAACACATTTCTGCCACCTCTTTTTGACCTTCAAACGACCTTTAGATAAAATGACTCAGAATGGACCCCTAACCAGTATTCTGCAGCTTAAATTGCGTCCTCGTTGTCATGCAAACGACGTCCTTTCAGTGATTTTTAAAGATTAAGAAACAAAACAAAAAGTCTGAAGGGGTTAGGTCTGGAAGCTGAGTGTGGCAGAATTTCAAAGCCGCACTGTTCTGCTGTCTGGACTGTTTGTTGTGCCATCTGCGCAGGGGCATTGTCATGCAGTAGGAGGGCCCTATTATGGAGTTTTCCACGCCTTTTTTTTCCCCTCACCAATTCGGACCGCAATTTTATCAGCAAATCCGAATAGAAGTCCCATGTGAGTGTTTTTCCATTTTCCAGGTAGTCAGTCATGATATTATGTTACCTTCACAATCCCAGAAACACGACAACATGACCTTTCCAGTTCCACTTGGCGGTGTTACCTTTGCCTTCTTTGGTGAGGTAGAAGAAGGGGTTTCCCACTGCATGTAGGACATCATTTTGTTCTGGATCAAAATGAAAAATCCATGTT